CCATTACTAGATGGTGTAACCAAGATTACAGATTAATTTAGATCCAACCAATAGAAAGCCATCAACCATACACAGATCTATTTTTCAAAATTATCACTAGTGAAATTCGAACTCTAGACTTGCCATTTGGAGAGAGTAACAACTGGACTACTACACTAAGTTGCCACACCTCATACTAATAAAAGTTTATCAAAAATTTTATTTTTGATAATTTTTTTAAAATTTATATAGTTATACCTTGTTTAATCATTCTATAAAAAAAAAAAATGGTACTAGTACTCAACTCTTTCCAACGATCACTTGGACCAAATTTTTTGACAAAAAGAAATACCTATTTTCTATACTAGAGAGTGGTAATAACCTGTAGTGAGGTAAATCAACAGGGCGGTTTTTATAAAGGTCAACTTTTCTCTACTATCGGAGACTTTTTTATATATTTGACATGCAAGCCAAAAGCGTTAGTATACAAGATAACTGGCAGAAAAGAGTGCTCTTGTATACAAAATTTTGGTGGTTAGGTAGAGGTGATACAGTCCAAGCCTTCCGTCAACGAAGCTATTGGTTGCGAAACAACTAGAGAACAGTAAAGAATGTGTTTCTTTTAAGCTGCACTCTTTTTTCCTGGCCAAGTGGTGCCTTCTATCTTTTTTCCACTTCCCTGCCCTTTTTCTAAAATTTTTTTGACAAAAAGTAGGGATTTGGCTTACCCCTCCAAAAGATCAGCATTGTTTACTTCCCAAATTCAGACGGACTAGTAGATTGCAACCACGTGTTTGTTTATAGACAGATATGGTGCTACTGCATGGAACTTGGCCCAGAAACTCCAATTATGGTAGAGATAGCCTTGATATAGGACCTCAGACAATGGAGCCATTTGAAGTTAGTAGGAAGGTCAGAAAGTGAACTTTAATATTAAGACAGAGCTTTACTTTTACAAGAGATATACAAATATTGCATTTGTTATATAATTTTTACTAACCTTGTACGGGTTATAATAGTGCCTTTAGGATCTTAGTTTTCTTTTCATGTTTTTTCTTTTTTATAATCTGTGTTTATTTTTTCTTGTTTCATTTGTTTTTCTTTTTTGGTCGTTTTCGTATTTGTCTTCTTGGTTTAAACTTTCCCCCTTTTTTGTCTCATGCCTCTTGGGAAGAAGGAAGAATTAGAAAGGAAAAGAGGTCCTGAGGTGGGGGCTGAGCCCCGGCTAGATTATATCTTTAAATATGGCATACCATATATGGGGTATAGTGGCCAATATCAGTGCAATAACCAAGGTTGGGCATCTCTAAGAGATAGCCGGCCTTTAGTCTAATTATCTATTAGATAGCTTGGTCTTGTATTAAGTGTAACACTTTTAATAAAATTTTAGTACGCAGTTATCAAAGGAAAAAAAATATATATATATAAAAAAAAATTACATTTTAACTAAATTATATAATGTTACTTAGATAGCTTTAGTTTTAAATTTTGGGAGGGTATTATAATAAATAATATACAAATTGATGATCATCAGATATATTAAATATAGATTTCATTATTTGAAATTTTATAGCTTTCATTTAATTACTATTACAGTATATTTGTTATGCTACTATTATTGGGGTTTTATCTAAGTTTTTCTTTTTCTTTCTTCTTTTTGATGTTCTGCTTCAGCTTTTTTTCTTTCTTTTTCAGTTTTTTTTTTCTCTTTCAGCTTTTCTTTTTTTTTTTTCTAATTCACATGCTATCCACTTCTGAGCAGCAGCTTCTTTTTTTCTTTTTACATTTTTAGCTTTCATTCTAGCTAGCTCTTCTGCCTCTTCTAACTCCTGCAAAGAATTCTTATTGGTAAGAAGTTTGGCAAATGGAAATGTTTTTCTTTTTTTTGTTGTTCAGGATTGAGATTCAGTATTATTAGATTCTTGTTCAGTAGTTAGTGAAGAAAGATGGAAAGCAGAGTACTTAAGTGCCATTTTTAATAGACAGGTATTAGGTTTTTTAAAAGTCTCTAGTTCTTTACTTATTAATTCATATTTTTGTTTTAATAATTCATTTTCTTTTTTTAAAATCTCTACATCTTTCTGAAGAAACATAAAATTGGCCTTTAACAATTCTGTTTTATATCGAGTGGTATACTTATAAGCTATTAAAAGAGATACAACAGAATTTGGTTGAGGAGAGGAAGATGTAAATAAAGAATTTTGTTGATCAGAAGAATAAGATAAGGATAAAAGATCAGCTCGTTCTGTTGTTAGTGAAGAAGAAAGACAGTCGGAATTTATTGCATTGGGATTAAGTGGCCAAATTTCTGTAGCTCTATAGGAATTTTTAATTGCTACTGAAGTATAGGTTGCTGCAAATGCTGGCCCAAAGTTTTTTGCAAATGTATGCTTAGTTGCTGCTTCACCTTTACTATTATGAAGCTTATCACAACCCTTATTATATTTGCTTTTAGAGTGAATTGAACTTTACAATTATGCTCTTTTAATTCTTCAGTAAGTTTGGCAAAGAGGAGTTCAGAAGGTTAAAGAATATGCATTATATGAGAGAGAAGTGTATATAATAAGATTTCATTCTTATTACAATATTTTATGCTTGCCTATCGAGCATAAGCAAAACTAAGTGAGAAGAAGGAATCAAACTGACAAAATATTTGATATATATTTGGAAGAGTTTCTCTTGTATATATCTGAAATTGGTGAAATCTATAACAAAACTATGTAGCAGGGACACAGAAAATATTGATTTGTTTTGGCAAAAATCTCTATCGATTTGGTCAAAAATATTGATTTATATCAATTTACCCATGATTGACTAATAAGAACCCAGAATTTGGTGTAATATTAAATAATGTGATCAGTATCTAAGTTCATGTTTTTTGGAAAGTTGACAGAAAATTTTGTTTATTGATTGTTTATATTTCCCAACAGTTCAAATTTATATTTCTGGCCTAAATTATACTTTTAATTTTGCTTAAAATAACGTTGTTACACTGTATAAAAAATTGTAAAAATATCGATTTATATTAATCTATATAAATCAATATTTTTCTGGGTCTCTGCTACATGGGCATTAGATAATAAACCTGGAATTGTGCGAATACCTTTATAAATAAATAGTAGAGGAATAAAATCACTAGCAGCTGAAATTGTTGATATGACAGAAATATGGTCATATGTATTTCCTTGTAAAATTTTATGAACTTGACAAGCTCCTTTTAAAGAGTTGGTACTATAAAATTTTAAAATAGTAGACATGGATATTATTTTGATTTTTAAACTTAAGGTAATAAAATTAACTTATTGGTTATGTAAATTAATGTTTAATTTTTTAATTACTAACCTTTTTTTGTGAGAACTTTTTAGATTTTTGAAGTGATAACAAAGCTAGTTTCGTCTATATTCCAGATGTGGTTTGGATAAGTGAATATTTTTTAATTATCTTCTCTAGTTTATTAAAATGATCTTTTATTATTATTGAATTTGCTCTTTGGACACATGCCTTTGTCAAAGCTTGAGGTGTTCAAAAAGATAAGTTTGAATAGTCCTTCATGAAACATTTCCACCAAGCTTTTCCAGGCCCTTTATCTAAAAATGGATTGGGCCAATTATCATTGTGCACTATCTCTATTATATAATGATTCACACCTGATTTCATTAAGCCAAATCCCAACTTTTGTATATTTTTGCAGTAACTCACTAATTGTTCTTTTTTATGTTTACTTAGAACAGTCTGAGGGCCAGAATATTTGGGTAAACCTTTTTCAACAGCATGCCTAAGTGTTGTCTCTGAAATTCTAAACCTTGAGGCAGTCAAATTTATACTAGGATTCATGGAGTTTGCAAGTTCTTTAAGTGCAGCTTCAATTGCAGTATAATTATCCTTATGACTAAGCTTTATTGTTTTTTTATTGTATTTTTTTTTAGATACAAATTTCAGTTTTTTTACTTTGGCCTTCAAGTTTAATTTTTTTATATATTTGGATTTAGTTTTTTTAATGTGTTTTATTTTTTGTTTTTAATAGAAAATAAAAAATAATCATGGTTTTATTGATGCTTTGAAATTAATAGAACTATCAAATTTTAGATTTTTAAGGTATTTAAATAGCAGCCTTTTATTGCGAGATAATAAAATATTTTTATTGAATAATTCAAATAAAATTGTACTTTGCAAAATTATACAACCTTTTTAATTAATTTATTATAAAGTGACCATGATTGTAATTGTAATTGTGATCACTAAGCTGACTGATTTATTATAAATAAGATAAATTAATCTCTAGAAATTGCAATTACAATCATATTTTTGAATTAGATTGCAAATATAAATTTAGAATTATGCACATGCATTGTATAAAGCTTTTTTAGTGAAATTTAGTTAGCTTTTATAAGCTAATATTTAGCTTTATGCATGTGTTTTTGTTTTAATTTCCTTTTAGAATTTAGCAATCTATAGAATTAATTACTGTTATCTTTTAAATCAAGTCACTAACTATTTATAGTTGAACCTGCATTAAGTGTATAAATCACATGTTTTAATGATTATATCAGAAAGAAAAGAAAAGCAAGCACTATCAAATTTACAATCATAATCACTATTGTTTGTAAATTTGATAATCTTCATGTTTCTTGTCACTCTAATAAGTTGTTCTCAACAAAAAAAATTTGAACAAAAACATTTAAATTTATTGTTATTCATTCTTTATTAATTATATAAATCTTTAAAATTATATATTTGCCATTGTTTAAATTTTTTTTTAAAAAAAAATTGACTATTGCTGCCTTTACCCAATAAACAAAATATTACCACCTAGGCGATATAAAAAAAAAAGAGACAACCTATTAAATTACCATATATTATTAAACATAAAAAGAATACAAAAAAGGTAGTATATTATCAACCAATCTATAAACCTATTGAAATAGTGGTTGAAAAAGAAGAAACTCTAGCAGTTAGTTGTGAACAGAAAATAAAAAAATCTTACAAAATTAATAAGAATTCTTCATGCGATATAATCATGATCAATGAAAAATTAATAAGAATTCTTCACATAATGTAATTGTAATAGATGAAGATGATATAATTGTGATCGATGAAGACAATGTAATTGTGATTGATGAAGAAATTAATAAGAATTCTTCACACAATTGGATCATAATTGACTCACCTCATAAAGAAATTAATAAGAATTCTTCATATAATTGAATTATAATTGATTAATTAACCTTAAATCTTTTATTAGTTGTTGCATTTTGAAAGTTCTTTAAATGAAATTTGAAACTTCTGATTAATAATTTGTATAGATTAAATCTACAATTCCCCTTTATTTAAATGTAAATTGATCTGATTTTTTTAGTTAGTAATAGTAATGAAAGTCAACTTCATAAATAGTAAACATAAGCTTATAAAGCACCTACAATTTATACTTGACAAACGATTAAAGTTTGGGTTTGTCCATACCCAAGTCCAAAATCCTGGTCACAATAATATTTCAAAAACTTTATTAATAATCTTTATCTTAGAGTTACTGTCAAACTTTAGTCAGATCTCCATAAATGCATAGTTATAAACACACATTCTATGTAAATTCTCCCTAATATAACTTTGTCTATAAATGCACACCCTCTTTAAATTTATATTTCAATTTTTTTTTTATTGTGTTTTCAAGAGGGTGCATTTTGAAGATCTGACTGCCGTATTAAATTTAAATTACCATTCTTAACTTAAGTAATCTTGTTTTAGATAAGTTAATAGTTCGTGCCAACATAGCATAAAAAAAAAAAAAAACTTTATTTAGGTACAGTAAAATGTGACTGCTAAAAAAAAGTTGCAATTTATGGAAAAAGTTATGTTAGCAAAGAAAAAAAGAGGTAAGAGATGAATAGGTGTGCAAGTATGATTTGTAACGGTAATGATAGTATAAATGTGATTATTATTATTGCTATCATAATACAGTAATACACGGTAATGCAGTAATAGTAATTTATATCAATTTTCTTAAGGTAATAAACATTTTACACAAAGTAGGATTTTTACTAAGCAAATATTTCATCCACTAAGTAAAGTTATTGGAAATGCTGTTTTCATATATCTTTAAAGTTTGATGCGATTTGGTTAACTTTTCATTAATCGACTTTCACAATATATGTTTTGGCGCAGTAGATAAATAGCTGCCGCAACAAATTTGGACCGGCAGATCCTCGATTTTGATTGGCTAACGGCCGAGGATCTTCGAAATTTTGG